ATTTAGAGATATCAAAGACATGCATTTTTGGGACCCCCTGATTACGAAAAGGTGTTTTTGTGTCTTTTCAAAACGTCACCCCTTCTGTCTGCCCATTTGTGAACAACACTAGGGCCGAAACTACAAGTATTCCTTGAATTTTACGTCTGACGTACGATTTTACGTCTGTCATTTACGAATGACGTCTCTTCGACATCTCTTATGTTTTCCCAAAATGGCTCCAAATTCTTTCTTCAAATTTGTCGTAAGAGTACATTGAAATATGCTTCTCAAGGTGGCATGGTGCGATGTTTACTGTTAACTTCGATTTTTTAAGATTACAAAAGTTTGATTTTTTTCTCGGTGTCTCGTCACAACTAGAATATTGAAGATAGATATTTTCTTGAAATTTGTTCTCCCTAATTAGTTTTTTCATTGACGGCTTGCACATTTCTTTGAAAATTATAGTATTTTTCGTGTAATATTGCGTGAAATATGTGCATCACAAAAATATTAAAAACAAGAATTACCCAAAAACGGCTCCAAATGTTTTTTTCTAACTTTTGTCAGGGATGGTACTAATTGTCCTGTGTAACGACATAAGGGCCGTATTGCTCAATTCTTTTCTCTTTTCAAAAACTTACACAATTCTTTGTTGTTGTTTTTAATTACTCTCGCGTCCTTAATATTTACATTTCCGGAGACTAACATTATTGCGTTTGAGAGTACTCGTGCTTAAAATGTCTCATTGAGACCCGAAAAATGTGTAGTATGAAACGTCAAAATATGAACATAAGTCTGTAATGAAAACAGTAAAAATATGTAATAAACATGTAAAAAAGATAAAATATGTAATTTTAAAATACACTAATTATAAAATGAACATTATACGAAATTATATTTATAAAAAATCCAAAATGTTTAAAAAGTTAACAAACATCTTCAACTTCTACTATTCAGTACGGTCGTTTAGCACCCAGAGTAGACGCAATAGAAACCATCCTTCAAACTGGCTATATATACGACCGGCAAACAATCACTGCAGAGTGCAGCATTCTCAACGGAGAGTCACACGTCAGCGATCGCCAAAGTGTCTCGGAAATTAAGGTTAAAGTTCATGAGCCCTGGCGTCAGTGATACTTTTCTCACCTGAAGGTGAAACTGATTTCAGTCACTGACACGCGCTTCCCGCCACTGAGATAACTGATGCAGACGAACAGGCCTGTAAGAACATCCTACCTCATCTTCATGTAGCGAACCTCAAGTAGATAACACGCAGTAACGATGTAGGCAATAAGAATATTTTTAATACTTTTCATAAAAATTGAGTCATAAAATTCAAGAAAATTGATAAAATAGAAAAAATATTTTGTGGACAGAGAAAAAATATTTAAAATGTGTAATATAGTACTAAATATGTAAAAATATGCAATGAAAAATTGTGATATTGTGTTAGGACGGCGACGATTCGCCAAGATTAAAAGTTTTAGGTTGATAAGTAGAAAGATATAAAATATGTATTTACATAAAAATTCGTTCGCTACTACCTCGAAAATTCAAAAGTATTCTGAGAAATTGAGCTCGCATTTTCAGAAACACTCTAACGTTATTTCTTAAAATTTTTCAACGAAAATGTCCATGTATGACGAGGCGATTTATACATTACATTTCTATAGTATTCTTAAAGTCATGTTTCGGTTTTATCATTAGGGAACCGAAAAATTGAAAAAAAATGTGAAAAATCTTTAGGTGACAATGGATGGCAGCTGGCAAGAGGGTGGAGTAAAACCGAAAATATAGCCCAGAACAAATAAATAAGGAAACGAACTAGTTCAAGAAATGCCATCCTGTAGCATCACTAGTTTATTTTATTTCACAAATCACTCTACTGGTGCTATAAATAGGGCAGACGTTCTCGTACCATCTATAACCGAAGTATAGAACTGAATTTATCTTGAAAAATTGTATGTTTCCAAATAATTCCAATTTTTACCCGGTCATCCTTAGAACACATCCCGTAAACTGAGGTGACTTAGTGGCTCAAGAATGATCAGTGGCAGCGAGAGCGGAGATGGAGCGGGAAGTACGAAGCGAAAAGGGGCAGCGAGCAAGCGAGCCAATCAGTATAGTAAACTTGATAAGGGCATTCGAAAAGTTGTCTATTTGCGAACCACAGTTCCAGTGCCGCGTCGGATTTGGAATTCCCGGACCTCCTCCTCAAGAGGTCCGTAAAATTAGCTTAGCAAAGTTTGAAAGAAATTGGAATTAAACTCAAAATTTGTTGTTTTTTGTTGCTAATGTGTTAGGGAAGAAATTGTCGCTCTTCATTTGACCCTGCTATAAACAATCGGCTAAGTGGACAATGAGCACCGCAATTACCACAAAACCACGAAATTACAGATAAATAGTTCCCGAAAGTAGTATGCGAAATGAAATTTTGTTGCTCTTCAGATACCACTTAACACCGGAAATGCGAAATGTGCTCTCTGTGCGGTGGGAGAATGTGAAGGAACGACTGTCCTTCGCCTATAGGTAACACGGAACAACCTACACCGTGACTTGACAATCGTGGTGGACAGATTGAATCAGACTCGCAGAATAAATTAAGATTTTCGACTTCACATAAAAAGATAAAGTTTCACAATCATTATCATTGCAGGAGAATCAGAAGATTTTGAAGTGACGATAACAGTTTCATGATTTATAAAAAGGAGGAAGTATGTACATTTTATTTTCGTTTTTCTCCAATAACTCGTGCATATTATTACAACGGAGCCCTTTTTTTGCATTTCTTTCAAGCATTCAATTTATCTGCGCATCCAGATGCTGCGAAGGATTATGGCTTGCAGGTGCAAAGGAGGGATTCTCACAGGCGTTGTTTTACTGAGGCGGGAGCCAAAAAATAGGCGTCATTGCTCCAAACAGCCCATCCCTACGTTCAAAAATATGTTTGATATTCGCAGTCTAACTCGTGTACATACTGCCATTGTTCGCAAAAAAAAATTATCATCGCCCCTCTCCGAGATTCGGACTAGGAGGGTAGCAATGACATGTATTTATTTAATTATTTACGTCAAAACTGTGTGTGACGTGCTACGAGGAGAAGGCCAAACTTGCGGGACTTAATTTGACGTTACATTTATGTCCAGAGGTAAAACAAGGGTCAATCTCAGCATTTGCTCAAGGATCAGGGAAATTGGACGAAAATCTGATCGAGATGTTGGTTATTGACCCAGAAGCTGAGGTATAATAATTGTTACCGGTTCTTTAAAATTATTCAGTCCAAAAGGTAAATATTACATTACATGTCACTGTTAAAATGAATATTACTTTGCTCTTGGATGCTCGTAATATTCTCTAATTATATAGAAACAGTTGTGTAGTAGAAACTATTTTACTTGAGACATAAACTTTTGTATCGAATTCAATAGTTTAATGTCATCTGGCAAAGTGTTGTAAAATAACATACATATATTGCATGTGAATTTTTGTTGTGAGCTGTTCATACTGGCACACGAATTGCAGATGCACAAGGATTGTAAATGCAAACATATAAATATAATTACAAAATGTTAATATTCAAAATTAAAACATCGCCCAAAATCCATCTGGTTTAGGAATCTCTAACATATTCACGGAAAGAATAATTTGATTCGACAATGACAGCGCGCTATTTTACCACTATTTCAAATTTGTCCGAAAGTACGAAAACATTTTTAAAATTAGCTTCAGCTATCTTACTAGGGAAAAGAGAATCACAATGTGAATTCTATCAAGGAGACAAACGCCGTTTTGAGATCAAAAATCGAGTCGTAGGATAAAAGTGCTCGTGAATAATATATGCTCATTCTGTCCGGTAGTGGAATGATAACGGAAGATCTTAGAAGTAAAATATATGTAAAATAAGATGAAATGGAATATTGGTGATATTTACACAATTAATTAAATTTTCTTTTTGAAATCCGTTAAAAATTGCAATCGATATTTTGAGTAATGCCTCAAACAATTTTATGACGGTATTCGAAGGAAGCTGAAATATGTGAACAATATCAATAGTTTTGTACTACTATTACTTTGCTCGATTCTACGTATATATGGTATATACATGGTGAGTCACGTAATTTTAGCACTTCTCATAACCTTTGAACTGTTAAAGTTATTGCAATGAAGTTTACCCGAAAGTGCATTAGGGAATGGGGTTAATTGAAGTGTGTATTCATTTCTATTTTATCAATTGTGTTTTACGAGATATTTGAGGTAACTTTGTTTTTTCACATGGAACAATACATTTTTTTAGTTTATGATGACGAGCGTAAAAAGACAAATCCAATGATATACATATTGTGCATGGTCTTGGTTGTCCGGGTGACGCCGCGTCGAAGGCCGTGTTGCCGACGTTTCGAACATTATTCGTGGTCTTCCTCAGGGCTGCTTTGAGGAAGACCACGACAAGATGGTCGAAACGTCGGCAACACAGCCTTCGACGCGGCGTCACCCGGAGAGCCAAGATCATGCACATGGCTCGCCTCTTCACTCGCTGGCTTCTCGATATACATATTGTCATATGATAGATTAGCAATATTTTGAGTAATTTTGATTTTTTTGCAACTGGTGTTTAACGTATATTTGTAATGTAACAGTCCACCACACAATGTCATGCAGCGTTCTCCTGCTAGCGTGTGAACGGGGAAGTGAAGGGATCTTAATATTTGATCGTATACATATTTCAAATAATTACAAAACTGTCGCAATTTTTCCTCAACACTGTTTTCTATCCTTTCACATTTTCATATTTTTTTGTATTAAGGATTAAAAATATGGATTTGTTGTAAGTAGTATGTATTGAAATAAGATTTCAATAGGATTCGTCTTTTTACGCTCGTTATGGTAGACTGAACTCATCATGTTTATGGTATATATATTGTAACGAATATTGCATCACATGCCGGAATTCGCTGCACGCGGATTGCGTCATCTGCCGGCGCCCCTTCCCTCGCCCCCGAACTAGACGGTTCCGGACTATGCGCGAGCCGTGGGAAACGCCGAGAATGCGCTGGGTGCCTGGAGACAAGCGCCGGGCAGGTATAAATGCGCCGCTGCCGGCGGCCGCGAGTCAGTTTGTAGAAGAAGTTAGTAGAAGTCAGTAGGTAGTAAGACGTCAGTGAGTAGCAGAGAAGCAGTCAGTCCGTCAGTGTGTCCG